ATCCTCCTATTACGCCTTCACTGTTACAATTGTTACCGTACTTATTTCGATATAGTGTGGTTGTTCATTTGAGCGGCATTCGTGAAAACCATCCACACTCCACACTGTCGTCCTCACCCTTTCATTCTTGTGCTGTTAATGTGGATCAGAATCTGCCATATTGTTACACAGTCCTCCTTTCCTAGGTCTTATCACAATCTCTCTCTTGCCTCGTAAGATCCGTCTGCTCTCTCCCCGGTTCACGGATTTCACTCTACCCCTGTCGTCCCATCTGTGCTACTCGAGGCGTTTTTCGCTCTCCCTCGCGCCTGGGTGACTAATTCGTGGCTAAAGCCTCTGAGTAAGTCTCATGGTCACGCCCTTGCTACATGGACCACGTTTCTGGTAAAACCTGTCAGCCAACTAGCTCCAGTTTCCGCCGCGTTTATCTCGTTTCTATCCCTAATACTAAGTCTATGACTTCTCATGCCCTAATCTCTTGTGTGCCAGCCCATAGATGTTGTGGTACTGCTTGCTTTGATTAGGTTAAATGTTGAACCACAACGTTTATGGGTTGGTACACATATTTTGTTTAGCACGATATTCATTATATTGGTATCTCTAATCGCATTCTTAGTGTTTCTACTTATATTTATTCTTGTTTCTATATTTATTATATTTAATGTCTGCAAGTAAACTTGCTTGTTTTCGCTTTTTCCATGAATGTTTTGTTTCTTTTCTTTAGGGGACAGAGGAACGGTTAAACCATCTCATTAACATTCTTCTACCGCTGCTTGGTTTTATGCCATCCATTATCCCGAAACAGCTCGAAGCTCTGACAACCAATTTATCTGGCCTTAAGCAACGGCACGACCGCATAGCTGGCCGTCTTCATGATCTGGCAGATGATATGCATACCCAGTCAGCACTTCAGCAACCTATTGCGCATATCTTGGATGACCTTGCCGCCTGGCTTCATCAGGTGGATACTAGTTTACCTCTTGACAAGAATCGTAATTGTAAAACTTCTGAAGCTTCTACTTTGGAGAAACAGGTACTGGGAAAATACAGGCTAAATTTGTCAGACAAATCTCATGTATATATATATATATGATATTTGGCTATATATTTTTAATAATTTATTTATCATGAATTCGCCCATCTAGAGATCCACTTATCATTAGCTTTATTAATCGACGTTTGTATCGATATAACTTATGACAAAACCATAGACTGGTACTCATCAATATTTAGAAAAGATCTCCACAGTTATATTTATACGAATCATGTTTTGAGTCTATCAGTAGGTCTTGAATAAAATGGAAAATTTCCGGGGAGGCCAGGCCCCTCCCACATCAAATTTTATAGTCGGATTATCAATGAGGTGAACTTTTATTTTGTAGAAAGACTGTGTTGCTAAGACTCCCTTAATAGAATAATGTTGGAGTACCTTTCATTTCGTTTGAAGGGGTGAGTGGAAGGGATTCGTAAATTGGTTCCACTGGAGGCCGTAGGGCAGTTGCTTTGGAGCAGTGACTGTAGATTTGTGTAAATAAGTCCTCGTCTCGTGGCCGAGATGTTATGCCACTTAGAATTATTGTGAATAATAAAGAAAGCGTGATGCATAAAACGTCATGATTTATTTGTAATCAGTTAAAGCAAATCTCCGGGACGTAGAAGGTTTCAGTCAAGAATTCTTATGAATTCATTAACTTAGTCGGCAAGCAGGAGATAGAAAGTGGGGATTTGCTGGTAAGTTTTGGTGTTGAGTCTATGTACACTAATTACCGTGTAGATGATGCCATACGAGCCCTAAAATCCACAATAGGCCAACATGTGGAGATTTTAATGAACACGAGGTTAAGTAAAGTGTCAACAATGATACTGACCAACCTAGCGATGTAATGTACATATTTTACCTCTAATGGTAAATTGTTCGAACAAACACAAGGTTTAGATATGGGACCGTGTTTGTCACTAATTTTAGCAAATAATTACATGGCTCAATTTGAGGAACATTTAATTCAGAAGGCACCTTTAGTTCCTAAATTATTAGTTCGCTATATGGACAGCTGTTTTGCTATTTGGCAACATGGCAAATAAAACGTGGAGAATTTTCCTGGTCTGATGAACAGGGTCGATGGGAAGATGAAATTCACCATCGAGTTAGAAAAGGAAGATGTTTTACCTTCTCTTGATGTCCTATTTAGCAGAGGGGAGCAGATTAGATACAGGTGTCTATAGGAAACCCGCAAATACAGGTTTTCTTTTGAATTTCTTCTCCAACCACACTTATGGGGTTAAAGTAAGAGTTATAAAGTCTATGGTAATAAGGAGCCTGCATCTAGCAGATGTTAAACACCGAAACGAGGAACTGAGGAGACTAAAGCCAATTCTGGTTGAGAATAATTAAACAGGAGGGCTGGTTGACAACTATTTTAGAATATTGTCGAATAGTATTAAGAGAAATACATTTTGAGGGCTAGTTAAAAAGGTAGATCACTCTACCAGGATCCTTGTGCTGTCTTCGTGTAATCTGTCGAAGAAGCTCGGCAAATTACTGAGGTGGGACATCAGGACCATTTATAAAGAAAAATTACATTGTCTTTGATATTGCCTTCATTTCGATAATACTCTGATCCGCTCTCCAGATCGGGCTGTTTATGTCGTAGTGCCTATGTGGGAGAGACCTGTAGACCCATACATAAGAGGTTATCCGAACACAAAACAGCCTGCAAGGATATGCGAGTCAAAAATTGGCCGAACACATGGCTCGCACAGGACACCAGATAGATTTGCCTGATGCCAAACGCTTAGCTGAATATGGAGACTATACTAACAAGCGAAAGATTAGGTAGGCGATAGAAACCAACAAAACAGCCAACACCTTGAATAGAATGAATGAGTGTAGAAAGTCAAGCGGAAACTATTTGTTGCTGTTGGATAGGTTTAGAGAGAGAGAGGTGGGGGAACGAGAAGTACCACCGAGCAAGAAGAGGGGGCTTGATTAGACTGAACTTTGGTTTTGACTCTCACATCACACCCATTTCAAGAGCAATGAACTCACAACATCTATGCAATGGGACGCAATCACATGTGGTAACATTGCAAGATCAAAGGCATGAGTCTTTTAGGGGAGGATGCAGCTGTTCGGTTTCAATTGCACCCATTTCGCACTCCTGAGGCCACTTCACATGTCATTCGCAGCAACTTAACTTATGAGAAAATATAGAGGCAAATCATAGGACATCTAACCAAAACATGAGATGCCAAGTGGATCAAATTGGAATAGAAGAAGGAAGTGAATTTAAAGCCGGCCACCTTTCTTGCCTTCGTGCTTTTGGTGAATCATCGTTAAGCATGGTGTCTTGCTCTGACGATGTCCGTCACATGACGAACGAAAGCACAAGTATTCATCGATGTTGCAGGGCAGTGAGCCGAGGGCTAATTCGCATAAATCTACAACTACAGCACCAAGGCAACTCCTCCACAGCCTCCGGTCGATCCAACCTACGAATCCCTTCCACTCGCCTCTTCAAACGAAATGAAAAGTACTTTAACATTAAAATTGTATAGAAGTTGTTTGAGCTTGTTTTCGCAACTTGGTCATATTGGTACTGCTTGCTTTGATTCGGCTCAATGTTGAACCACAACGTTCGTTGGTTGGCACACGAGAATAGGGCATACCAAGTCATAGACTTGGTATTACGGATAGAAACAGGATAGATACGGTGGAGACTGGAGCCAATTGGCTGACAGAAGGCCTGTTTTACCATAGAAGTGGTCCATAAGACTTAGTCAGAGGCTTTCGCCTCGAATTAGTCACCCAGACATAGGTGAAAAATTATAACGCCTCGAATAGCACAAATGGGGTAGCAGGGATTAAGTGAAATACTTGAACCAGAGAGATAGCAGACCGATTCTACGGGGTAAGAGTAAAACTCTATTAAGACCTAAGGAAGGAGGATTGCGTAACAATATGGTAGACTGATCAACATTCCCAGCACAAGGGTAAAGGGGGGGTGAGAACTTTAGTGTGGAGTGTGAAGGGTTCTCATGAAAGCCGATCAAAAGATCACACCACACTAGATTTAAACAAGCAAGGAAAAAAGTGACAGTGAAGGTGTGATACCAGGATATAAGATAGATGAACAGCCTAGGACAGAAGGAGAGATATTCACAACTATTTAGCACACATTTGGTCAAAATATCGACTTGACTTGTCTCTTTGACGAGTTGTAGCATGGTGCTAAGAATAGCCAGACTCACTGATGATGCCGACTACGGTGCCAGAGGAACATCTGGGAATGTACCACGTCCATTGTCCGACTGGAAATTATCATGCATACAATGGATTCCGGACTAGGTGCGCTCCTCTAAGCCTTCCTACCAATATAACCGAGTTGCGAAAACAAGGTCAAACAACCTCTATACAACGAAAGGAGGCTGCGACCACACAGAAGGCCACACCACCTTGATCTTCATATATTTGATTAAACTTTTATTTTGCTATTA